TGCATATATTCTTGCAAGCCCCCATTGGCCCCGTGACTTATGTTCTCAGTGCCTGGGTGCATTAATCTAATTAGCTGTAATAATCCTGTACAGTGTGGATACAGAGACGTGGCCTCCGGGGGGTTGTGATTTCTTTTTTTATGGCGGTAGGAAACTGGAGCAAATGACCGGCAGAAGTGACAGTTACTTGCAGTGTCATTATTTAGTGGCCTTGTCTAGCACAGGTGCTATATCGGGTGTGCGGGGCGGTCAGAACGTATAGGGAAGCTTGCATGGTTTGCAGAACTTCTTGCCACGCCATTTACAAATGCATTCCTTTTAAACATGAATATTTATCATTTCATACCTGCAACCTGCCTGCTGAATGGCTTAAAGTGTATGTAATCCCCAACGACGGAGTTCTCGTATCTGCTCCCGTCAAAGGGTATCTATGGTCAAAAACCAAAAATTTTGTATTTCTATAAGTTCTCTCCCACTCCTAATAACCAGATCCATCTAGAAGTTTGTATACTTATTAAAGAGGCCCATAGGATGGACTTTCTCAATGCAATGACACCATTTCACTCAGCCCTGTGAATATGTACTTCCTGGTGTCACCACCCTAACTCCAATGTCTGAATGTCCCGCAATGTAACATTATCATTGCTTGCTGCAAGCACTGCATGATGGGAGATGTAGTCTTGGAGATTGCATCACATCAAGCAGCAGGGAAAGAGATGCAAAGCACACTAGCAATCCAGGAAGTTGTTGGAAGTGATGGGCAGACAGAAGGCAGCACTCACTACATAAAAGGGACTTTTTCATGTAAGCTTTGATTGCATTATCAGAAACAACTCTTAGTATGTATTCCTATTACAATGCTGATGTTATAACAGGAGAGGATATGCTGGGACCTTATAACTCCTTTTTAAATATATAATTGAAAATGATATAACTGCATGAAAATATCTGTTAATCCTGTTGAAAATCCAGAGTTGTCCTGTGCACACTTCCTGCGTTCTCAAGGAGTCTAATTAGCTCTCCCTGCGCTTATCTCAGGCTACAGAGTAATAACGCTGACTAAGCTGCTGAAATGGCCAAGGTTTGGGGGCTATGGGGGACCCCAAAAAGACAAATCGGCACAACAGCTGTAACCCCCCCTATAGTGACCATTCCCTGCCAGCATCCAATCCCCCATGCCACCCACAATGGTGAATACGTGAGGGACAGCCCTGACATCAGCTGTGGTAAAACTTCAAATCCCGTAATGCCTGTGGCTGTCATTCTTGCAGTGCCTCATGGGACTTGTAGTTCCACAAAAGCTGGAGTGCTGAGGTTGCCTACTCCTTAGTTAGACAATGCTTTTATTATTGTCTTGCCGCCCTAGACCACAGCCTATGTGGCCTTATGGGAAATCTGGATTGATGGAGAGATTCCTCTAATGGGGGACACAAACGGAACACATGCAGTGTAGAGAAGGTGAATAACCTAGTGCTTTGGTTTTTACTGATATCTGAGCCTCCTGTCTCCGTGGCAACCGCTCTCTACCATTTTTTTTCTAATGGTGTCACAAGTACAGGAAGTGAGGGAAAATTTCCCTGGTGGCGTCCTAGACCACAACAAAAACCAGACCAAAATTGAAACCCTTTTGAAACTGTATCCAAATTTTAAAAATCCCAAACAAAACAAAAACACATTGTCTGTCTTTTCTTCTAATTCAATATGGATTCAGCTAAAATTGTCTCCCTCAGAAGGAATATTTTGGTTCAGCAGAGTACAGTCCCAGTGGGAAGATGTCAGGGAAGCTACGCGGTACAAAGACATATGACATTATAAATTATTTAAGCGCAGCGTCTGCAGTTTTTGGCCAAATTGCCTCTCGCTAAGGAATTGGTAGATAAGGTCTTTGTTTTTTGTTTTTTCTATCTCTCTGTGCTGCTTATTCGGCACAGATGGATTGTACATGTCTGTGACCGACTGCCAATCGCCCTGTCAGCTCATCCCCACAGGTGACAATCATGGTGACAGCGCCGGGGAGTAAATACTGGCTGCATTTGTGATCCCGTATTCAGTGAGAGAGGTCGGTCCAGCGGTGACAACACACTGCAGCAACACCTTTTATAGGATTGGGCATACCCCCTACAGGACACGTCCCCCGTCCTTGTGTCTGGGTCTTTTGTTGTCGTGTGGCGGCAACGATGACAGATTTTGCGTCCATGTGACAATAAAATATTGCCTGATTACTGAAGCTCTCTGGGTTGCCACTGACCACATGCTGAGAATATCCCAAATGATGTGTCATTTAAAGGGATTGTTTTCAAGAACGTCTTGAGGCAAAATCAACCCAAGACGTGCTGATGTTGGCCAGCAAACGTCACGTCTGTTCTGTTTTATGTTTTTAGTCCTTTTTGTTTTCTATTACTTGATGTCAGATTTAGCAGGTTTCTCCCAGTGCCTTTGGGTGGTCTTACTAACTGTTGCATATGACCTAACCTTTTTCTTAAGCCCTCTTCACAGGGGTGTCCCTGCACTAGGCACTGCCTGAGGCCAGGACGGGGGTGGTGGGGGCGGTCTGCTGGCAGTGGATGCTTGTCACGGGGTGGAGGGTTAGGTGTGGGGTTGGGGTGTAGCTTCTTACAGGGGAAGGAAGGTTGAGTGGCAGTGGATGGGAGAAGATGCTCGTTACCCCATTAGATGCCACCTGAGGCAGCTGTCTCATTATCGGGATAGCCCTGCCTCTCGACACTTGAGCGAGAGCAGTTTTGTGCATTTTTGTCCTTTTTTTTTTTTTTTTTTTTTTTTTTATACATGCGAATGCAAGTTTTTGAAGCCTTTAATGTTTTCAAGTTTCTGGCATTTTTGTTTTAGCCATCATCCTTGTACCTGCTTCCTGGTTCCTCCTGTGTGGTTTGTGCTATCAAAGCAAAACAGCAGAAAGGCATCATGGCACACTCACAAAACCAGCATGTAAAACAACATGTCTCACCACTAAGGATAATGACAGAGGTTTGGATACACGTCTTCAGCCGAGGATGTGTAAGCCGCACTGCCGCGCCAAGGCACCTCTTATAGTGCGGTCCTAATTCTAAACTATGAGAGTCTCCATCTTGGAGCACATGGGGGCAGAAGATATCAAATTGGGTGCAGGTTTGTTAGGAGGACGCCCAACCTCCTTAAAGGTACAGAAACACACAAGGGATCCCGCACATCCTATTGGCAGCTGAGACATGTTGTTTTACATGCTGGTTTTGTGAGTGTTCCATGATGCCTTTCTGCTGTTTTACTGTTCAAAGCCCATTTCGTGTGCACCTTACTGTATAACTGGTAACAAATTGTTGAGTGCGTTTGTCGTTTGTTTTGCTTGTGCTATCAAAGCTCCCAATCCAAAAAAACGTAATGACTGGGTTATTCCCAACCCTTTGCCGCTTTCCACGGTTCTTGTAATGGGCATTGTTAGGGTCATAAAGGTTCCTGTGGGCATCGCAGGGGTCTTAGACGTTCTTATGGCTATCGCTGGAGTAATAGAGGTTCCTGTTGGCATCGCTGGGGTCGTAGAGGTTTCTTATGGGTATCGCTGGAGTCATAGAGGTTCCTGTTGGCATCGCTGGGGTCGTAGAGGTTTCTTATGGGCATCGCTGGGGTCGTAGAGGTTTCTTATGGGCATCGCTGGGGTCACGTAGAGGTTTCTTATGGGTATCGCTGGAGTCATAGAGGTTTCTTATGGGTATCGCTGGAGTCATAGAGGTTCCTGTTGGCATCGCTGGGGTCGTAGAGGTTTCTTATGGGCATCGCTGGGGTCGTAGAGGTTTCTTATGGGCATCGCTGGGGTGGTAGAAGTTCTAAGGGTCCCTCACCAGGTGGATGAAAATCTCCACATCCAGCATGGACACTCCTGAGTCATCCATCTTTTTCACAGGCCTCGGGGTGCTAGGAGGAGGAGACTGGTTGTTAGGTACAAAACCTTGCTAAAACACCTGTGTTGCTTGTTTGACGCTCCAATTAAAGTCTAGTCCATGGGTTCCTTTTAAATAGTGTAAATGGGAGGTAAGGTTTCTATCTAGTGAGCAATGAATGCTTTGAAGTAAAAAAAAAAAAAATTGTTTGGATGTTACCTTGCTTTCAATTCTAATATTCATATAGGACCTTTATGCAAAAAGAGCTGTAATGATACCCATAGCTTAATAAAATGTACACCATGGTGCCCCTTGTATCCATGAGTATAGCCTGCATCTGGTTCCACAACAGCTGGAGGGCCGGGGTTTGCCCACCCCTGGTCTACATTGACTTAAATATTTCAAGCTTCCACCAACTGTTAGTTGGAATAACTCCCCACACAGAAGATGAAATGCATCACCGATTGGGTTGCTGCCACACGGCAGCCCCTTTTTACCTTGATGCCCAGCAATACCAATCAAGGACAGAGGTGGATGATGAACATGGCCACATTTTGTTTTTCTTTTGTCCCTTTTGGACCCTTCTTTCATCTGGAGGACATTGCATGAGGCAATACGATACTTTCTAGACCTATACCTACATCTGAGAGATGTACTATATGGCTGTTTTACAGCTTATATAGAGCTTTATGAGTACAGTTTAGAGATTTCTAAGCCATCTATATCACCTTTTTAGCCACTGAGGGTGCATGGTGTAAAAGTTTATTTAAATGCAAAAATGTAAGGACTAAGTTCGCACAACTTTATTGTTGGCATGCATCTGGAATTATCGCATGCCAATTGACTTGAATAGATACCCAGCTGCTGGTGCGTGGTTATTTCTATAATACCTTGTAATTGAATGATATGGTAATCGTCCGGAGACTGATTAATGACGAATGACTCATGATGTACTTTGTAGATTAAGTTCTCACAAGCACTGTCCTTCTAATTTTCTACAGTAGTATTATAATTGTACTGTATCCCCATAAGTTGCGCTGTGCAAATTGTTGGCGCTTTATAAATCATGTATAATAATGTATGTGTGATCTAGTGTGGGACAAGGGCAAAGTTCATTCTTCTATCTAGGGCAGTCATGTATGGCTTGTAGTAAATGGAAGCTTGGTGCCCGCCACTGTCACCTCCAGCAGCGATGGTGAGGTCCTGTTCACCAGCGACTTTGGGCAGGTAAGATCAAATTTACAAAATGGTGGAAGAAGCAGATGTCTAAATATTGTTGGAATACACATCATATATTTTTTGACTTCCTTGACTCCTACTGTTTTTATCACCATTTGTATTCATAAGACTGAGATACATTTATCATAGGTAGCTGTCTATCTATACAATGCGAGTTGTATCCATATAAACCATCAATCTTGATATCTCATTGGGGTTTGGTTGAGCCATCAGGATTTTCTTCCTGTCTTGCAAAGGATGTTGGCTTCACATCCCATCTCGCCATTGGGAATTTACTTTTATGAGTGTGAGCAAAGGTTAGTAGAAGTTCTGACCATGTATTCATTGCTCTCTGGGCCTTTTATTTCATGGATAAATGCACCTCGTGTTTCTGGTAGGTGGATTACAGGGACAGGAAATGGAAAATCTCCCTAATGGGGTCACAGACAGATATAAATACTCAGTGTCTTAAGCCACCTGCACTCCATACAGCTTTGCGACCTTCTGTTAAAAATGGTGGTGCTCGCTGTGATTGAACGGATGGCACCGTGAAGGACTTCAAAGTGAAGAGAGGTTAATAACCAGCACACGTAATATTCACTGAATCTTCTTCACATTTATTGAATAGTCACCGAATGTTCAAGTACCAACGTTTCCGGGGCCACGCAGGGACTGTCATTATGTCACCCTGATGAAGGGACCCTACGTGGCCCTGAAACGTTGGCACTTTGACATTGTGACTGGAACAAATGTGAAGATTCGGTGAACACTACATATGTACTGGTGATTTAACATCTCTTCAGACATAAATACCCAGCAGAAATGTTAAATCTTCCCCACTATATGAAAACAGACAAGTGTTTGGAGTTAGCCTATAGAATTTGATAAGGGGTTTTGGGTGCCGAGCAGTCAATGTTAATGCAATAGACAGAGGGGGGTTGCCTGTTTTGGTCATTGCTCTCTAGTGATACACCCCATATGCTCAAATTTGGGGGGAAATGCTTTCTAGATGATCAGCTTCCAATTGGCCCTCATTTGGAAAGACAATCCTTATTTCAGAACTAGTTAGGAACAACACCTTCCCTCTTTTAGGTCTGATCTCCTATAGAAATGTACTATAGGGCTATCAAAAGTGTTTTACTACACTAGTAGTGGTGGGAATCAACCGTTTAACCACTGTTGGTACAATAATCCTTTGTGGCCCATGTAACTGAGGACGTGGCAGGGGCGTGCTTATATAATTACTTCTAAAAGGTTTCTCATCTTAGAAGGTTGGCAGGCATGGACCAGGCCTTGCCTCAACTCATACCTCCTTCACGGGTGGAGGTCATATGCTCCCCCATACCCAGATGGGCCAGGTATTCTGCAATCCAGTGCTGTGGCAGGGGAGCGCAGCATAGGGCAGTAGAAGTGTTTTTTTTTTTTGGGGGGGGGCGGGCTGGCTTAAAAGCGACTCATACTGGCCATACACTGCTCAAGCGGGACTAGCCCGAAATTCGGGCAGTGTGTGGCCCTCATAGGACACACCTTTAGTCAAAGGTGAACTTGTCAATCAACTTTTGTTGAAGCTCATCCAAACAGAGAATACCCAAACAGTGACTTCAACTGATTGACTGCAGTCAAATAGTGGCACATGACACCACTGAGCATGGATGAGGAAACCTAAACATGCATTGTATAGACAGTTTATTTCTCTCTGCCCTGAATGGTTCAGGGATATTAAAACATTTATATAGTTGGAACAAAAAAGAAACCAAAAAGCCCTCTGCCAAATTGTCTGTAGGTGGTGGTTGTATTTGGCCACAGACATGTATATCCTAATTCAGTGCACCAGCTGTTTCCAGATGTGGGGCACGTTGTGGGAAGAGATGCCTAACATTCCTCAGACGGGACCCTCGTGCTAAGAGGTCGTTAGTCACAAAACACTCCTACTCAGGGATTTCCAGGGTGCGTGCATTCCCTTGTAGTTTCCCGGGAGTGTCTCTAATAAAGTCCTGAGACCATCCTTAATGGACAGGATGTGGTTACTGTTCTAAGAGAAGAATCCAAGATGATCACAGTGGCCGGGGAGAACCTAGAATTCATTTAAAGAGAGTCATGAAACTGAGGTCGAGGTCCATAAAAAGAATGGCTGAGTGTTTAAAGTTTACCTATGGACTACACACCACTGAGGCACCCATGATCATCCAGTCTAGTAGTTCACCAGAAACCATAATAAAGGAGACAATGGAGAAACCAGCTGCTTTAACCAATCTGTCATGTGTGTGACTCACGTGTGTGTTGAGGTGAGGACACGTGTCCACTGGAAGAGTGAAAACTGAGGATGCCATTCAGTTTGTCATACTTGGCGCGGATGTTTTCTTTATGACATCATCGCTTTGATGGAAGAAAAGGTCAAAGGTCAAACTGGATGACTCGCTTCTATCTTCTGTATGCATGTGTTCCATAGAACCAGAGTGCGTATAGTATACAGTTGTAGAGGTCCTGCCCCAGGCCGTGATGTTATCTCTTTCCTGAGTTTTTTGAAGCTCAGACACCAAGACCAAGTTTGGTAGCATTGGTATGTGTCCGTTAACTTGACAATAACTCCAGGACTCATTTTTACATCGGGTCTGAGGACTAGGAACACACACCGTTGCACATTTTTAGTTCTCTGCTGCAAGGTTCTCATGGCAAGGGGCCTTTTACATTTGGACCTAGAAATTCATATTGCCATTGTGAGGGTTAAAGGAGAACTATGAGGTGAGTGATTTCCACTAACCTCATAGTTCTAGCCGGCCTGTGACAATGAGACTGTCACAGGTCAGCTCAGTAGATCGGGAAGTGAGTGAACACATACCGGCGTTCGCTCACCTCTCGATCATGTCACGGCTCTCTGCCGTGACAGGGGAGGGGCTGGATTCCCCCCTCCCCGCTCTGCCAGCGCTCACTGACGGATCGGATGAGGAGGGGGCGGGTACAGCTGGCTCTGCCTCTAGATAGGCAGAGCCAGCTGTCAGTCACGCAGCTGGGCGGATCCCGGCACAATTGTCGGGATCCGCTTCAGCTGCGGCGTCTTAGTATACCGCGAGCAGCTGCTCGCGGTATACTGCGGCGTCTCAGTATACCGCGAGCTATAGCTCGCGGTATACTGAGCCTAGGGTGACGGGAGGATGCTAGTTTGTGTCCTCCCGTTACCCTAAGGAGAACTATGGGGAAAAGACTTAACCCCAATCAGCCCATTTGTCTTGGAAGTTGTGTGAGAACCCATACGTTCTGCTGTTGGCTGATCTAGCCACATAGCGCATCTGTTGGTGTGTTGTTAGAGTAGCCTTTCTCCACCAGGGTGCCGTGGGCACCCTGGGGTGCTTTTTTGCTTTCCTCAAAATTTTTTGCATAGCGTCATGCCTTTCCATGGTGCAGACCAGCACCTGATGTAAGTGGGGCTTCCAAAGAGTAGGGGAACCCTGATGTGAATATGGGGGTTCATGTAAAGGAGGGATCCTGATGAAGGAAAGGCAGTATTCCGTTATGAAGGGGGGGGGGGCTCCTGATGTGAAGGGGAACCCCTTATTTGTGTTTCTACATGGGTCCCCTGAGAATGCTGCTAGTAGACACCATCTTGAATGTGATGTCCGCAGACCCAGGAGACTCAAAGCTGTGACTCACGTGACCCACTATATTTTCCCTCTTCGTCCCTTCCCCAACAGCTACATGAAAAGGCAGAGAGGTGATGGGCAGAGTAGCTGGGCCAGTAGAGACAGTAATTGGACACTCCCGAAGAGGAGGGGGCTATAACATACAAGGGGGGCTGGGCTGGACAATTAACTAAAATACATATTAAATAAGAATACATATCCCATCATGTATTGCTTCCAGCAAGCAATGATAATGCTACATTGTTAAGATGTTGAGTTGTAGTTCAGAAGGCAGGCTCTGTGAGAGTGGTGAGACAAGGAAATGCATATAGTCAAGAACCAGCTGCACTCCTTACCGGAATAGTAGTAAACCTGCCAAGCAGGTGGGTGCTTGTAGTGACCACGGGCGGCCCCGTGAACAATGCAGATAAAGAAAGGTGTGTCACCAGCACACCAAAAGTTTTGAAGCAAAAAGTCCTTTATTGACAAATCGCCATCCAATACAAACGCTTTCGGGGTCTCGGCAGTACCCATTCATCAGGCTCAGAATGGAAATGCATATTCACAGGGCTGAGTGAAATGGTGTCAGTGCTTTTAGGAAGTACATCCTATGGGCATTGCATCAATAATGACTTTAATATAAATAGAAAAATGTCTACTCACTAAAAATACATTAAACATTCTTTGCAAATAAAAAACCAAAAACCAAAAGAGGAAGTGGGAGTCTCTGAATGAGAAACGTCTATAAATTGTTTATTTTCGGATCACTTTTATTGTACACAAAGCATCTGCTTTCACTCTTGTGTGGCAAACAAATTGAGGAAGTAGGACGCTGATAGACTCCCTCCATGACACAATAGTCCTAATGACCTGTAAAGTCCAATGTGAACGACTACTCCACCCTTCTGACCATGTTACACCCATGAAGCATGATCACATTCCTCATCCTCCACCCTCAAACTGCCCCCTACTTACCTGCATCACAGGGTGCTTCTCACTGGAGCTTTCTGTGTATAGTTCAACTCGACACGCACAGGACAAGACTACAACTCCCATCTGTCACTGCAGCAGAGGGACTTCCAGATCTCAATGGAGTACGACCACTGTGATGTCACCACATTTGTAGTCCATTGATGACTTCCTCCACCCCCATAACTGAAGGTCCGTCCATACCTCTGTATGGACTCAGGGCTGGGGCAATAGTCTGCAGGAGCCAGAGCCGATCGCAGTTGCAATGATTTGGAGGCTCCAAAGCAATAAATTCATTTTTTTTCTTCATGTTTTTGCATTTATTAATTTTTTAAAAAGGGGGACACAAAGTGCCTATACTGGCACTTGAAATTGTTTGGCAGGTGTAAAAAAAAATGGAGGAGGAGATGAGCGGGCTGGTGC